CCCCAAAACCCCAAAACCCCAAAACCCCAAAACCCCATAATACCTAAATCTATTTTAATCAAATAATTAATAATTTGCAAATTAAATAAGATATTGATAGAAATGGGAGGTGGACAATCAACCCAATAAAATTAAGAGCAGCAGCAAAATGCTACATAGGAATAGTAGAAACTTTCCTAAGAAGAGATTCAGAGAGTCAGAGATTAGCGAACTTAGGCTCTGTAAAAGAGAATTGAAGAATAAAGAAGAGCAGAATAATTAGCCAAATAGACTGTGATTGATTTTAAGAATCCACCAAATAATCTAGAAGAAACTAAATCTGACTAGGCTAATTAAATTAAGCCAACTGAAATTGCTGGTAGCTCGAGCAAGATTAATGTTTAAGAACAAATTTTGCAACAGAATAATGAGAAAGCTCAAGCTCAAAACAAGCTCTTAGAGTAAATACAGGCAAATAAGTAGAAAATGGAAGAGTAAAAACCCTTAGTAGAGTAGTAGAAAAATACTTAAACTCAATAGTAATAGCCCAAAGTAGGGATAACCAAAGAGCAAAGAATTCATAATTTCATTAGTGATATATTCTAAATCACTAACGAAAACTCTATCACAAATTCTAACAATAAAAATAAGACTTTTCTCTATGAATACTGCGGAGAAGGAAGGCAATTTAAGATGCAAGACTTAGATGATATAATAATGAGTAGGCTCTAGTAAAATAAAAATGAGAATAAATTTGTTTATTTATTCAATTGCTACAGGAAGATTGATAGCCATTTGTATGTGAAAGAAAAGATTATAGAGAACGCTACTGAAATTAAGGAATCTATCGTCTCCTATTTTAATACTTGTCTTCAACTTCCTGAGACATTTAATCTGACTAATAATTATACTATTCATGTTGATGGTGACGGTAACAATATGAATAATCTAATGGCAATGCTGTAAGGAGGAGGATAAGGAATGGGTATGAGTATGCAGGAAAAATTGTATAGCAACTAAGAATTTCAATTTACTCGTATGTAGAACGACCTTTGGGTAGCTTTTTATGAGGAAAACTTATTTTGCAATTATGAATTCTTACAATCTTTGACTTAAATCTTATAAGAAGATGAAGAATGGATGCAGCTTTTCTACAGAACTCTTTTCAATAAAATGCATTTGAACTTGAATAGTATAAATATTGATAAATTTAGGACTGCTGAGAGTTATCTTGAAATTCTCAAACAGCTTTTGAACAGTAAAGAAGCTTAAGAGTTATTTGTTAAGAATTTCATGTTTTACAGAGAAGGATTAAATGGCAAATAGATATAGATGGAAACTTACCTTGGGAGATATTTTAGTTTTTCTTGCTTAGCTCACGAGACTAGGGGATTTAAAGATGCATATTTCAAAGGCATAGCTAAATCCTAGTAAAATGGTATTTAGAGAATGACAGAATAGGTATCTGATTAATTTCACAAATTTCATGTTTTGATATTTGATGTAATGCAGAAACTTCTCAAAAATAAAGAATGTAGAGATATTGTTATGAAATGGTTGAGGGCTGCTTTATCATCAAATATGGATAAGCAAAAAATGTACACATAAATCCCAGTAGCATCAGATGGGTTCATCTTGAATCTTATAGATGTATTGCTTTTATTCGGCAAGCCTTTTACATCAAAATTTCATGAATTCCCTGCATAGTTTAGGAAAGTTAATTTCTTTTATTTGATGGACGATAAGTTTTTTATTGGGGGCAAAAAAATCGAAAAAATTAACAATGAGCTTGTTGAATTATTTATAAGTGGTTAACTATTAAAGCCAGAATTCACAGGAATAACATAGGAATTAAACGAAGAATCTAGTTTAAATTCAGAAAAAGAATTGAATGTTATTCCTTAACCTAATTTCATTACTGAAATCTTTTTCTTGGCTCATATAGCTATAAGCTTATTAGAAAAGAAAATAGAAAAGTAATATGAAGAGCTTTATAAGCATATTAACAAAGCAGCAGGACAGAAGGATATTTAAACCTACGAAGAGATGATGGGTGTAAAGATGTGCATTGATGTACACTTACTTGGAAAATCCATTTTAGGCAATTTTAGATCTCTATTTACCTTTACTGGGGCTTTATTTATCTCAATGACTTCACAGAAATCAACAGGACCTTATCAAATACCACCTGAAAGTTTTTAAGATCTTGAAGAATTTGAAAAATAAGCTATTGAATTAAGACAAATTATAAATGCAACATCATCAAATGAAGAAAGTCAACTCGATTTAGCTGCGTTCCCAACAATTATCTTAACTAACTTATCTAATCTCCCAAAATTATTTAGGCAATATAGCCCAGATGTTTATTACGGCTATGATTTGGATTTAAATGTTCAAGTAGCAACCAACGTTACAATTATAAATGAGAATCTAATCAAGAATCCGCACATCAGAGCTGATATGATAAAATTTTTAGCATATTTGGTTCCTTAATAATTTTTAAGCAAGGAGAGACATAGAAATGCTTAATAAGATAGGGATGATTTAATGTATAAGGATATTTTCTTTAGGAGTTACACATTGTAACAGTAATTGATAAAAGCAGTCGTCAATGTTTACATTGATTCTGAAAGAACTGGCTATTATGAGAAGGGTGCTTTTAGATTTTACGCTAGTATGATTTTAGAGTATATTTGGTAAGATGGAGCTTACAGATAGAAATTCATAGAATATGGCATGCAGGAGCCTGAAAGATTCACTGAATTCTGCAACTTCCTAATTAATGATGTGAATAATTTGCTTTTCGAAGGACTTTTGGAGTTAGAGGAGATTAGAGACTTTGAGGAGTTACAAAGTAATGGAGGATTCAATTAACTGGATGAAGATCAGAGACAGCAGATGCAATAAAAATATGATGAAAATACAAGGAAAGCAAAGTCTCATTTCTAGTTATCTAACATGGTAGTGAAGTTGTTAGAAAAGGTATCTAGCAATGTGCGTGAACCTTTCATCACTGAGGAACTTGGAGAAAAATTTGCAAATGCAGTAAATTATTGTATAGATAGTTTGGTTAGTCAAAAGGGCTTAAAACTTAAGATCAACAACCCAGAGAGATTTAACTTTGAACCTAGAGAATTACTGATCAACATCCTCTGCATTTATGCTAATATGAGTGAAGAGTAAGTATTCCTCTAAAATGTGGTTAAGGATTCAAGATCGTATAAAGATGAAACCTTTTAAAAAGCATTGAGGCTACTGTAAAACCCTAAGAAAGGGGTGTAAATAGATGGCCCAAGGACAGGAAAATTTGAGATTATGGTGTAAAAATTAATAGAACTAAAGGTTGGTATTGATGAGGAAGATGTAAGTATTATCATTTTATAATTAAAACTTTGTAGACATTATTTGACGATGCTCCAGAGCATTTCCTCGATCCAATTATGAACACATTAATGAAAGACCCAGTAGAGCTACCAGCCTCAAATACTATCATTGATTATATGATTATCAGTAAGTGTGTTAAATTATTCATTTTATATAGAAAAACACTTATTGAATGATCCAAATGATCCATTTAACAGATCTCCACTTAAGATTGAATAGCTGATCCCAAGACCTGACATTAAGCAATAGATAGAGGAATATAAACAGAAGAAGAGATAAGAAAAAATGAATGCTTGAGAATTTCTAAGAACTTGGGATAACATATTAGATTATCTTAAATCATAACTCTAGCCTTAATATTTATTCACAACTACTCTTCATTATTTATAATTATTTAAATCACCAGTCATCAATCCTAGTATGGTTCCCATCACAATTAGGTCCTGCTTCTTTACGATTTCTTTTGCAGCCGCACCATAGAAAATTAGATTAATCTTTAATAATATCTACTTTGAGTGGTTTATACCCATTATCAAGTTCCTTATGTTTACCATCACAGAATGGCTGAGTTTTACTTTATCCACAGGTACAATACAAATATGATTAGCCTTTAAGAAGTTTAATTCTATAAGGGCATGCTCTAGCAATCTTGGGCTTGCCTGTAACTTAAAGTTACTCCATAGAAGTAACGAAATCTCCTTCCTCTATCATTTGCTTTGTAATTTCCTTAAGGATTACAGCTGATGGTTCTTCTTATCTCTGACTTGATTCCATCTAAGTCTCTTTTCTAAATTTAAGATAATTAATTATTGATATAAATTTAAATTAAAATCAAAATGTCAAAATCATTGTTTGCAGTAATAGCACTTCTCTCTTTATTTATTGAAAATTCCTATCAAAATTTCTGCCCAACAATTAATTGTACTGAGGATTTGGGAAGTAGAATCTGTTATCAACATTCAGGCACCTCACCTGTAACTATTATAAAGACTGATCCTTGCTCTGATGAAAATCAAATATGTGATACTTATGAGGATAGAAAAATGGCATGGATACATACCGAAGGTTAATTTTGGACTAGTCAGTAGAAATATGCAAACGTATCTTATTCTATGCAGTACTACAGGAATACGATCGGCTATTGCAAGAAGATAACTTCCTTTTAAAAGCGACTTAATGCTGGAAGAGTATGCTAATATAATCATTAATGCAATAGTCTCATTTGTACAAATGGAATTTGCAGAGGGAAACAGTAGGGCAGTGATTGCTCTAGTCATGAAGAATGTGATATTTTTAGTTCATGTAGGAGTGAACTATCTTGGCCTTTTGAGACTAAATGCAGAGCATTTGCTCCTGCAAATTATCAGTGCAATTCCGATTATGATTGTGATATATCTTATTCATGCATATACCAAAGTGTTTCATAACTTCAAAATGGAATCAAGTAATGTACTTTGAAGTTTTCACTATCAAATGGTGCTATATTTGGTTGGCAAGAATACAATGTAGATTCGAGTATGGAAAGTGCGCTTAAAAATGGAGAGATATGCAAGTTAGGATTTGCTTTTAAAAATGGTGACTCTGGAGTTTGTTCTTCAATTTTATACATAAGGACAAAGTCAAGTGATGCGAAACAGATAAAGCCTTATCCATGTAATCCAAGCACTAAAGTTACATCCTTTGATCAACTTAACAATGTCAATAATTGTAGATATTACTTTGCCAACACACAAAATGGCTATTATGAGGATGAATGCTCTTGTGCAATGAATGGAGGGTAGGAAGGTTATTGTAAATATCCTGGTTAAGAGGAATTGAATGATTACATCACAATAGTAAAACAAATACTTTCATATACTAGATGCCACACATTAGACAGAGAAAATATTCTATCTCAAGCAGAATGTGGAATTGGAGCATATGACTTAGATAAGTATAAAAACATTGTAAATTCTTACAACAAATTTCACAATTGGCCATTGTCTTAAACTAATACATCATCAAAATGTTTTGAGAAAATTAATCCAATGTCTTATTAAGGCATATTGAATTATACTCAAATTATCAGCAAAGCAACAAAGCTTAGTAAGAATTAGTAACAATCAAACGAATAATTGCTATCAATATAAATTGTAAGAGTTGTAGCTATTTTAGTAGCAATATTAAATTTTGTATGAACTAAAATTACATGAATTAAATCATAAAACAATAAATGACTTAAGGGGTTTTGGGGTTTTGGGG